TTTTATTTTAAGTGTTCACCTGCTGTACTTTTCTCACCTTATGAAATAAAAAACATAACCTTCTATTTATAGGGAAACATAAAAACCCTATCAATTTGCCCCTTAAATAACATCACATAAATTATTTTACGCTAATTTTAGAAATTAATTCAATCAAGTCGTTACTTGATTATTTATAGGTTTAGAATTGTAATCCCTTATATTAATTATGTTCTAGTCCTTAATCTCTAAAATTTATTTACAATAAAGTCATAATTGATTAATTATCTCATTTTAATTTTTTATCAATGGTTTTTATATGTATTACTCATTAGATTTCCTAATAGTTTGACTCAAATATAAACCACAATCCTAAATAAATAAGATTTAATCAATTAAACAAATTATTTTATTATCAATTCAATAATTAATTGATTTATATTTGAATATCAAGTACAATATCTAACAATCTGTCATCACCCACTAAATATTATAAATTCACAAGTGATTATTTTCTCAGTATAATTGTTATACCTTCATTAACAATATTTATAATTTAAATGTTATAGTATGAAGTGTATCTACTCTATCAAATCATATTTGTTCTCAACGCCATAGTCATTGATTCTTTGAATAAAATTTAAATTTTTTTTCAAATCTCATTCCACCTTGAGCAAGGATTTATAATCAATACTATTTGAGAATAAATGAAAATTTTTCTCTAATTTACCTAGGGTGTTAAATCCTCTTTTAATTACTAAAATAACTCTATATAGTTAATGTTATATCCAATATTTTGTCATTTGTTATCCTTGATTAGAACAATGTGTTGCAAGATCAAAAGACACATTCTCTATATAAGATAACTCAGTAATATAAAGTCTAAGGATCACTTACACAACTATCGGATAAGTCTTTCCATATACACAAGTAATCTCTTCATATGAAATTCTCATGCAAGTCAGTTTAATACACATATCGTTTGACAAACACCAACATATTTTTTCATATCATTCTAATATATAGATATCAAAAATATTTAAAAAAAATATTATTTTAATATATTTTAAAATAAAAAATATTTTAATAACGAACCCGCAGTGCATTTCCAACGACTTGTAAATTGTTCGACTTCATCCAGAATCCCTTACGACAGTAGCTTTTCGTGGAGTGTTTTTACCATTACAGATTGAGGGCTGGCCCTATTTAGCTAGGTTGCTTTGTATCCAAAGGAAAAGGTGCCCTTCATTACATTACCATCAATCAATTTTGTATGATTTCTTCCCGTAACCTAGAGTTTTGAATATGTGGCTTTTTGGAGTATGCTGAGTGCCATTTCATATTGTGGGTTTTGATTATTTAGAATTTGGGTCTTCAAGGCGTCTAATAATTGGAATTGATGGTTAATGATAAAGTTGCTGATGTTGAGGATATTGATTAGTGGTTCATTTGTATTTTCCAACTAAATATTATATTGTAGAAGCTTACTAGATAAAGTAGCCTAATTTTTTTTAATAAAAATAATAATGTTTAGGTGTTACAAATACATTCTAAAGAAAAAAATATTCATGACATGAATCATAGACTTCATTATATCAAATAAGTTTATTTTGTTTTAATTATATAATAAAAAAATAGACCACTAATAAGTTAACCCATAAGAAATTCAAAACATGAAAAATGATGAAGATTAATCTCAAAGAAAACAAAAATTTGAAGGCTAGAATAAAAAAAAAACAGATTAAATTTTTTTTTAAGAAAAAATAAAAAGTGACCTAAAAAAAAGGCCTGGACCTATCCAGGTTAACTCGACAACCTCATAATCTAGGTTATGGGATTGAGATAATTCAATAAAAAATAAAATAAATAAAATCATAAAGCCTATTTCATCTAATGATAAAATCAAAAAGAAAATAAATCCAAAACCAATTTTAAAAAATATGTATCAACTTGTGTTTACTTTTTAAAAATGTGACCTAGAATAACTAATATTTTTTTATTAAAGAGTGAAATTGAAAATAAAAATTAATTTAATAAAAGAAGCCCAAAAAATAATTAAAAGAATGAGGGTGAAATTGAATAAAAAAATAGTATATCATAAATTTGGATTCAAAGATGAAAATTGAGATTTTACAAAAAGGAAAAGAATAAAAATTAGAAATTAAAAGAATAAAAAAAGAAAAGAATAAAAATTAAAAATTAAAAGAATAAGGATCACAGTTGAAATTTTAATAAATAAAAAGGCAACTCTGAAATTTTAAATGATTAGCATAAATTTCAAGAAAAACAAAATGTCAGCAATATAAACTGTCTCACACATGTCATCATGTGCCACCCAAAAGAAAAAAGACACTGATACTTCCAACAACACACGTAGAGCAGTGTTAAACCATTGCATGACGCCTAGCATCTCAAATGCTAGTGTGTGCATTACACACGCTGTCAAATTCATATTTATTAGATTGTTAAATTTAACCTTTTAAAACTAAATTATTTTAAATTAGTTAAAAAAAATTTTAATCAAGCCTTAATCAAGCACTGAAATTTCTCTTAATATTATAAGATCTCTATATCAAGGTAATAAAGAAAAACTACCAAGTCAAATACTAATTTAAGACAAAGTAAATTGATTAAATTAAAAAAAAATTAAATTGATGGATCAAAACAACGGGAGTTGAACCTTTTCTTGCCCATACATTTTAGTCCATGAATTCGGCAATGAAAAGGATTTTGATATCTTTTAATTCTTCAAACTCAATTCCCATAGCTTGAATTGTTTTAAATCAATTATATATATATATATATATATATAATGTGGAGTTATCTTCAAATGTTTTTTATTTAATTATATGAAAATAAAATATATTTTTATTAAAAAAACATAATCATTTACATTTTACCAAAAAAATATAATTGTCATTATAAATTATTTTTTTATTAATGTATTTCTTAAAAGAAAAAACATCTTTTCTTATATATTTTTTATTGTATAAAAGCTTCCAGAAATTAAAACCAATATTAAAAAAAAAAAGGTGATTTGAAATAAGTATAAAAAGGGTATCTCTTCACTTAAAACAATTTTTCCCTTATTAATGTGTACTTTTTCTAATAATTTTTTTTATCAAAAGTTATGTTTTAAAACAAAGAAATTATCATAATCTCAAAAATATTTTTTAATAAAAAAGATAATGAATCATGAATTTTGATGCAATTTTTTAAAAAACAATATAGTCTTATTTTTTATCTCATTAATAAAGAAATAATCAATTATTTTGATATAATTAAACTTGTAAAAATTAAAATTTATAAATATTCAAGTAAGGATATAACATAAATATATAGGGATTTGACTTAGACAGACTATATTAATAGTTTAATAGATACATTTATAGACCAGTAAAACAGGTTTATATATAAAAAAAATATAATCATGTCAAACTTAGTTAATAGCTTAAAACAAAAATAATAAAAAATTTAATTATTTAATTGAACTCAGATTTTTTCTAAGCATCGTATCACTTATCAAATCACTCAAATAGTGCTATTTGGGTTAATTATATTATTTTTTTCTTGATTTTTTATTTTATTATTTAATTCACGTTTTTATTTTAATTTCCTAGGTGCTTTCAAATATTTAGTTATTTCCTAATAAAGAGGGTTTCGTGAGCTAGGTCTTATAAACTTCAGAGGTAAACTTCATTAGTTTTATTTAGAAATAAATTAAAAATTCAAAGTTAACATCTATAACCCTTTAGCTCATCAAAATTATTGTGTTGTTTATGTTTTTATAGCTTTTTCTTGCATCAATATGTATCCTCTGTTATGGACTTTTCTGAGTTTTTGTTGGGTTTTATGTTTTTAATATTATATTCATTGTCCTTGATTTTGTTCTTTTATTGTTTGGACTTTTCTATGTAGTAAGGTTTGATTTTGAATTTGTGTTAATGGGTGTTCCATAAATTTCTGATTACTTTCGATGTTAAAAATTAATAAATGCTTGTATGCTGAAATTAAAAGTAAAATTGTCAATTTTAAAGGTGAGGGAGGGGGTGGTGATGATGGCAGCCATGCGAAAGATGATTGAATGGCTTGTGTGGCTGTACGGTTTTCTATAATATGTAATTATTTGTTTATTTTAAGAAAAAAGTTTAATTGAAGTTCAGCATGTAAGATCATTGTGGACACAAGAATTCAGATAAAACTTGATTGAACTGAATTCTATGGACAGCGTTTAATTTCTTTTCGTTTTCTTTAATTGAGTTTTGAAGCAGCACAACAATGGAGAGGCCAGCTCAAGTCTTCTGGTGAAATGAATGCTTCATGCTCAACTCTCGAGTGATTGCTGTCTATGAACTGCATGTAATTGGTGCAGCGACAAGTGAGCTGGAAAAGTTGCAAATGAAGGAGTCTCATGTTGTTTATATATCGCTTCAGCAGTCTCTTGTATGAAAGCCCAACTGAAATACGCAACTGGGAATGAGTGTTCTAACCTTATATCTTTTTGTTTTACCTTCTGTTTGTCTAGTCCATGTGTCATTATTGCATCTCTTGGGGGCAATTCATGCAACCATCTTCACATCGATTTTTCTTCATTCTACATGGCACATGTCATTAAATTGTTTAAGCTTATTCTTTGGGGGTTTAAGCTAGGATCTCTCTGTCTGTAGATAAATGGAAGTTATTGTGGCCTTGTATGTATTTATTTTTTGTCTGATCCTAGAAATTCACCTTCTTGATACTCGTCTCTTGTTCATTGGCATGCCATGTTACTCTTGAGTTTAACTTGACATCAATTATTGAAGATGGAGTCCATTTCCATACTACCTGTCTAAGTTTAGAAATCATACTTAATATTTCATTGAAATCATTTCAGTTTGAAGTCCATGTTTATTTCTTGTGTGCTTGTGAAATTCACTTTTCTGCAACACCTCACACCGTCCGATGTTTCCCAATAGTCACCTGTAGATAAATCCATTCCGGGAAACAATTTATTTAGAGTTGATAGGACACTTCCAAAGGAGTAGACTCAGACACAATTGAGAGCCATATTCCAAAATTTCGAACGTGTAATTCTGGTAACCTGGTGAGTGAGTAATTTACATAAATGGAACCACCACTACCATAAGCTATAACATTTCTTTCTTCACCATCTACATGCTAAAATGAGGGACGAAAAATAAATAACTAAATCCCTTAATAGCAGAATAAAGAGGATTATTTCAGATATACTTTGATCGGGAACTCTAAAGAACCTTGTTTTCTGTCATGCATCATTTGGATTTGAAAGGGATGGCCCTGATCACTATCTGTTGGTACAAGGCTGCAAGCGCCGCTCCAATGAATGGTCCTACCCAGAATATCCACTGCACCAAAAAAGAATTAAACGCTGCTAATGTTTTCCCAAGGCCTTACCAAGATGAAGTGTAGGGACTAAAATAACGTGTGAGAGGCTTACATGATCATCCCAAGCTTTGTCCTTGTTGTAGATGAGGGCTGCACCAAGACTTCTGGCTGGGTTAATACCGGTGCCTGTAATAGGAATGGTTGCCAAGTGAACCAAGAACACTGCAAATCCAATAGGTAGTGGTGCCAGGACCTGACCATCCAAATGTAGCATTTTGGAAATCAATTTCAATGATAAAAAGACATCAAGGAAAAAAAAATAACATTTATTTTTACTTACAGGAACATGGGAGTCTCTGGCACTACGCTTGGCATCAGTGGCAGAGAAGACGGTGTAGACAAGTACAAAGGTGCCAAGAATCTCAACGCCAAGTCCACTGCCCTTGCTGTATCCTGTACTGACAGTGTTTGCACCTCCACCAAGTATCTCGTAGGGGCTCTTTTGGAAAGCTTTTACAACACCAGCACCACATATTGCTCCAAGACACTGCATTATCATGTAAAACACTGCCCTTGTCAATGTCAGCTTCCTTGCCAACAACAGCCCGAAAGTCACAGCTGGGTTGATGTGACCCCCTGCATCACAACAACAACGTGAAGCTATTATTCGCAACCACGTTGATGATTAAACATCATCATGTAATCCATAACTTATCAGATAGCAACTATGGTTAGAAGAGCAGTACCTGAAATGCCAGCAGTACAATAGACAAGAACAAAAATCATCCCACCAAAAGCCCAAGCAATACCCTGAATGCCAACCGTGGAACACTTGGTGCTGGATCTTGCCACCCCCATGACAGTTAGAACTGTGATGTAAAGGAACAAAAAAGTGGCAACAAATTCAGCGATGCCTGCCCTGTAAAAAGACCATGATAACCACTCCCCGGGCTGATAAAGTGGTGCTGGAGGTGGCTCTGTGTAGTCCTTGCCATGTTGGGTTTGAGCAGCTGTTCCTATGGGTTGCCCCTCTCCATACCTATTTGCACCCACCTTCACATCTTCTTCCCCCTCCTCCATTTCCACTATATCTTTCACGGTTTATGAAAAAAGAATTTGGTCTCAGTTGCCTCTTGTTACTATTGCTCCAAACCCTTTTTATAGCTTAAGCCAAGTGTATTTGATCAATTTGAGAGACTCACAAGTTACGAGTACTGAGCAAATGGGGTATTTGTAGCTTGTTTTTGGGACAGATGTTTGTCCTGGTGTAGGTAGATTTTTTCACCGTCTTCTTATTGATTGAGAGGAAAATGAACTGTGCATTGTCTTCACTTGTTACCGACACATACTCGCTCCTCGAAAAAGTAGTTTCTGCTGCTGTGATATCATCAGAAGATTTTGATGTTATTTCTTTCCCATCACTTTACTTGAACAACTTGAACCCATTCTTTCCTTCTAATGTAAAGTTCGAACTATTTTTCCACGATGGTGATTGCCACAATCTGGTTGAAAAATAGCCACTCAGATTTGGAATGATAATGGCAGTGCTTGGTAATGCATATGCCACTGAAACATTTCTCATTGTGTGAGGGAAACGTAACACTTTATTAGGGAATAGAAATTGTGGTACATGTATATAATGTATATACTTTTACAGCAATTCCTTGCTCTTACAGACTGTACTACTTCACCCAGAATCCCTAACGAAAGTAGCCATTCTCGGAGTGTTTTTTTCCATTACAGATTTAGGGCTGGCCCTATTTAGCCAGGTAGCTTTGCATTCGAAGGAAAAGGTGTCATTCATTATATATCGAGCTGGCCATCAATCTTGTATGGGTTCTTGCTATAACCTGTAGTTTTGAATATGTGGCTTTTTAGAGCCTGCTGAGTGCCATCGCGTAGAGTGCTCAAGTTTTTAGAATATGGGTCTTCACAGCGTATAATAATTGGAATTGATTGTTAATGATAAAGTTGGCTGATGTTGAGGATAATAATTAGGACTTTTTTTTTTTAATTTAGCAAAGAAATAAAAAAAATTGAAAAAATAATACAATCTATATATGGAAACAACACAGTTTCTTTACACCCTTCTCCCTCTCCACCACAAAACACCAACACTGTCACAGTGACACCATCTCTCCTCTCTCTCTCTTTATCGGGATGTACAAGTCTCTCTCTCTCTCTCTACCAGCGGGTCTTCCTTACATTTTTGGCCGCTGCCACCATCACCCATCATCACATGGGATGCCAGGAGAAATTGGATATTTGTGGAGCTACATCCGCAATTGATCTGGACGACTATATGAGAAGTGTTTGTCCATAACGCGTTGGTTTATTACATTTAACAAATATCAGTAGTGTTACTATAGATGATGAATGTATTACTTGTTACGGAAGGCTTGAAGAGTAGGGGTTGATATTTGTAAAGAAGTTGATGAGATAAGATAAGTTCTGGTCAACAATAGACTTAATTAGTATTGTGATATACTTCAAGAGATTTGAAATATTAGGTATTTCAAAGCGTTTTTAGTGGAAAATGATATCATTTATCGTGAATAAAGAGACATGTAGTTAGGGGGATGGATTCGTTCAAGAGCAACCTGGACTTGTCCATGAGCATTCCAAACTTATCTATAGGCTGAGGCAATTTTAATGTTGACCCCTACACGAGCATTATATGTCTGTTCTTAATTTAAATAAATTGAAATGGTATAAGTTTATCCATAAACATTTCATATTTGTTCATAAATATTTTAGACCTGTTCACGAGAAATTTTATCCCCTTGTTGTCTTTCCTTTCTATTTTCTAAGCAAGAATTGTGATTTTTTTCCAAAGTAAATTGTCAGCAACCATTAGTTCCGTGTCGAAACATGGATGATTTGTAGGTTTAAAGCAAACTTTAAATCAAGAACAAATTAAAACACAGTGCCGTTCATCATGGAAATAAGAATCCAATCCACCCCCACCCCGACAGCAAGCGTAAAAAACAAGACTGCAGCCATGGAACGTTATTGACTATATACTTTCAATATTAAAAAAAAAAAGAATTCAAATCTATAGAATAATATCTTTAGCCGTTTGCATGTGAATTGGTTTTGGGATAGGGAGACAGATTCGTCAAGAGTGACCTAGACTTGTCCATGAGCATTCCAAATCTGTTTATAGACTGAGGTAATTTTAATGTTGATCCCTGCAATTACAAGTCTGTACTTGATTTGGATAAGTTGGGATGGTGTCGGCTCATTCATAAATATTGTAGGCTTGTCTATGAACACTCTAGGTTTATCCACAAGCTTTGAGAAATTTTATATTACTTGGGGAGTAATTAGCGTTCTCATATTAGCTATTTTTTTAGTTTATTTAAAAAAAATACAAATATAATAGAGAAATTCTAAATGAAATATTATTATCATTTTTGATAAGTTATGAGTTTTTTTTTTATTTTTTTATGTATATCTCGTTTTTAAAGATGTACTTTAAAAAAGTAATTAATAGAATTCTAAGAATTACTTCCTTTGCAGCATAAATTTTTTTTATAAATGCTCAAGCCTCTTAATGAGTGCTTGAGACTTGTCCACAAGTTAGCATGATTTTTAAATAATGTTAGATTATATACTTTAAAGTTATAAGAATTATAAATTTAGTTTAAATTAAATATAATGTGAATTTTCATTGTATTTAATTATGAAATGTTAATTTTGATGAATTGTAAATTGTGTTTTTAAATTGAGAATTGTTGGGTTGATTTTCGTGGCAGGGAATTGAGAAGCTGAAAATCTGTCTTGACCACTTTTTTTTCCGAGTTATAGATAAAAATTGTAACTCATCAAGCTGTATTATTGATCTAAATATTTTATGGAATATGTTATTTTTTTAATTTTTTTGTTACTGTGCTAAATTACAAAACAACTCCTTATTTAGTCATTTTTTTTGTATTTTCCAAATAAACGTTATATTGTATAAGATTATTAACAAAAGAACTAAATGGTGTGGGGTCGGTTTAATGGTTTATATGATCAGGGAACCAGATTAATATATTTTTATTATTATTTTATAGCTTCTTGTCTCATAGCTCAATTAGTTACCGTTTGTAAAATAACTATGTCGCAAGCTCGAGCTCTTGTTATGCTAGAAACAATAATCTTTGGATAACCAACTTGTCATCTGAAATATTTGTATAAGCTTATTAACAAAAGAAAATAGTTGGGTAAAGAGTTTCAAAATTTAAAAATAATATCAAAAAAAATTATAATTTAAATATTATTTTTTTATGTTAAAAAAATAATACAAGTCGTAGTGATAACATGGGAAATAACCTTGTAAAAATACATAATGGGTGGGGTGGGATGATGGTGTCGGCACAAGTGAAGAAAAAATCATTTGGTGCTGTTTATAATATAAATATCATGAGTTGAACCCATGGGATCAAAGAGTGGAACTTAAATTAAATTGTTCAATTATTTTGGCTTACGAAAATAACTTCATAATAAAACAAGGCCACAAGATCATAAGTGCCACATCTCGAGAGCAAAGGACAATCGATTTCTGCCACCCACATCTACTCCTTAACTAGTCTGGTAACCAAACATAAGATTTCAGGTTGATTTTTAGCATAAAAGAAGAACACGACTGAATTATCATTGCATTATTTAGCGTTATAAAAAAAATTTAATATATATCTATATATATAATAAATTAAAAACTATATAAACCAATAAGTTTAAAAAGAATTATTAACACTAATCAGGAACTAAATTAGAAACTGAGAAGTAGATGTACATGAAGATATTTATATTATTAATATTAAGATATCTTTATTTATTTTTATTTAATTATATAAAAATAAAAATATATTTTTATAAGAAAGGTAACTGTTTAAATTTTACAAAAAAAATGTAATTGTTGTTATAAATTTTTTCTATTTATGTATTTTTTTAACAAAAAAAATCTTTTTTAGGTATGTTTTTTATTGTATAAAATTTAAATGAATTAAAACCAACATTCAAAAAAATAATTAATGATTTGAAATAAGTATAAAAAGGGTGCCCTTTAATTAAAACCACTTTCCTTTTTTAATGTGTACCTGTTTGTAATAATTTCTTTATCATAACTTTGGTTTTTTAAATAAGAAAATATCATAATCTCAAAAAACAAGTTTTAATAATAAAAAAACATAATGAATTAATAATTTTAACACATGTGTTTTAAGAATATAGAAAAATAATAAAATATAGTAAAGTCATATAAAATATTGATACAAAAATACAAAAAAAAAAAACATCATCCACATTTAGAAAATTATGCATATTAGATTCATATATAATCATTTAAAAAAAATTGGTAATAGTACCATAAAAAATGCTAATATCATTTTGAAAAAAATAGCATAATTGAATTATTATTTAAACATCATTCAATCAAATTCATTCAAAAAGATTCAATATTATAAAGTGTGAAAATATTTTTATAAAAAAAATTAAAAAAAAAATTAAAGGAGCAACACAATTGGATTGTAAGAACGAGCTCGCATGCCTAGCTCAAATTTAAACTCAAGAGTACACATGCCTAAAAAGTCAAGCTTGCTCTCCTGGTTTTTTTCTTAAAAGGAAAACTTTATATTGTCCATCCTTATTATTTTTTTTTAAATTATTATTTAAAAAAAATGGATGACATTTGACTTATTTATGTATATTACGTGTCATCCACTAGTATGTTTTCTAGTAACTAGAGATTTTGCACTTATTCAAGAAATCAAGATTAAAGATTTTGGACTCCAAAAATCTAGAATTCAATTATGTTTTCAGATAAAAACATAAGAATAAAAATTCATTGAACCTCTATAACCTTGTTTCTAACAACAAAACATATTTTAATTAGTTCAAAAATAAATTAAAAAAAAAATAAATTTAAAAAACATTTTAAGTTGTGATATACTTTCTCTAACATCATCAAAAACAAAAATTGCCTCTATAAAGTCTCCCTCTCAAAGATAAATCCATAAACAATAAAATCAAAGTCATTATTGGCCGAAATCCAGCTATCTAAGAGTTTTTTCTCTTTTAAAAACTTTCGCTAACTTTTTATCTCCTTTTTCAAAAGCAAGGGTTTGTAGCATAAGAAAAGTAAAGTTTGGGTGTAAACAAAAGATTCAACCAAAAAAAGACCAAATATCATAATATTTAAAATTGAG